CTGCTGCTGCTGCTGCTGTTTGCTGCTGCTGCAGTGACACACGAATAAAAGGAGACAGCTGCTGCAGCAGCAAACCCCCAGGCAGCAGATCAAAAACAGAACGAAGAGGAAGACAAGGAGACCCTGCATGCCGCTGCAGCAGCAGCAAAGCATTCTGTAAATAAAACTCTCCTGCTGCACCTGCTGCTGCTGCTGCTGCTGCTGCTGGAGGCGCTGCTGCTGCTGCTGCTGGAGGCGCTGCTGCTGCTCCTGCTGCTGCTCCTGCTGCTGCTGCTGCAGGCGCTGCTGCTGCAGCGCCTGGTGCTGTTGCTGCTGCATCTGCTGCTGTTGCTGCTACTCCGTTTACTCCCGCTGCTGCAGCTGCTGCTGTTGTTGCTGCTGCTGCTGCTGCTGTATCGTCTGCTGCAGCTTCTTCTTCTGCTGCTGCTGCTGTTGCTGCTGTTGCTGCTGTTGCTGCTGCTGCTTCAGCAGAGGCTTCGCGCCAGCAATCGAGAAGGACCTGAAAAAAATACCATCAACAAACCCTAAACCCTAAACCCTAAACCCTAGACCTAAACCCTAAACCCTAAACCCTAAACCCTAGAGAAATGCAGCTGAGAACAGCTGAGGGTCTCTCACCTTCAGCAGCAGCAGCAGCAGCCCGCATGTTCGTTTGTTAGCTGCAAACGCAACACACAAACCCTAAACCCTAAACCCTAAACCCTTTTATACAGTATTGTTTAGGGTTTAGGGTTTAGGGTTTAGGGTTTAGGGTTTGCTGAAACATTTTATGCTGTCTTTGCATATCCTGGCCATACCTCCGTAGCCCTGCTGCTTCTGCTGCTGCTGCTGCTGTTGCTGCTGCTGCTGCTGCTGCTGCTGCTGCTGCTGCTGCTGCTGCGCCTCTGCAACGGGGATTCTCCAGAGTCTGTTTGTTTTTTTCATATCATCATATTCTTGCTGCTGCAGCAGCAGCAGCAGCGGCAGCAGCTGCTGCTCAGCAGCAGCACAATACCTTTCTGCTGCTGCAACATCCTTTCTCTCCCGCACGAAGCAAAGCAGAGCCGCCCTGCATGCATGCATAAGTTTGGGGCTTTTTTTTAATTTAAAATTAGGGTTTAGGGTTTAGGGTTTAGGGTTTAGGGTTTGGGGGCTCACTCGTGCTCCCCCGCCTTGCCGTAGAGGATAGCCTTCTCCTCAATCAACGCAGACCCTTCTACCTGCAGCAGCAGCAGCAGCAGCAGCAACAGCAGCAGCAGCAGCAGCAGCAGCAGCAACAGCAGCAGCAGCAGCAACAGAAGCAGCAACAGCAGCAGCAGCAGCAGCAGCAACAGCAGCAGCAGCAGCAGGAACAGCGGAGGAAGATGCAGATGCAGACGTCGCGTGGTAACAAAAACCCCCGTTTAGGGTTTAGGGTTTAGGGTTTAGGGTTTAGGGTTTACCTTTTTGAGCAGCTTCTGCACATCGTAGCTGCTTTGCTGCTGCAGGAAGCAACGAAGGCGTTCTCGCTGCTCTTCTGCTGCAGCAGCAGGTGATGCTTCTCCTTCTGCTGCTGCTGCTGCTGCTGCTGCTGCTGCTGCTGGTGCTGGTGATGCACCTGCAGTGGCGGGTGCTGCAGAGCCTGCTGCTGCTGCTGCTGCTGCTGCTGCTTCTTCTGCTGCTAGTGCTGTACACAAAACACAAATTATGTTTTAAGGGTTTAGGGTTTAGGGTTTAGGGTTTGTATTGCCAGCTGACACTAAGCGGAATGCGTAAACCCTAAACCCTAAATCTCCTAGGGTTTAGGGTTTAGGGTTTCTACATTTAGGGTTTAGGGATTCTAGGGTTAGGGTTTAGGGTTTCTAGGATTAGGGTTTAGGGTTTAGGGTTTAGGGTTTACCTCTGTCTATGTATATGGAGGCGAGCTCTGTCTCTATTTGGGGGTCATGCAGCAAACCCTGCAGCAGCAGATGCTCAAGGAACCTCTCTCTGAGTTGCTGCTGCAGCTGCTGCTGCTGCTGCTGCTGCTGCTGCTGCTGTTGCTGCTGCTGCTGCTGCTGCTGTGGCAGCTGCTGCAGCAGCTGCAGCACCTCAGCAGCAGGAAGCGGGCAGTACCCCTTCTGCATAAACAAATCTATCGCTGCACACAACACACACCAAACCCTAAACCCTAAACCCTAAACCCTAGAGGCTACTAGCCAGCCAGAGAGAGAGAGGTTATGATCTGTGCTACTCTAGGGTTTAGGGTTTAGGGTTTAGGGTTTAGGGTTTGAAGGCCGGACTCTTTTTAGGGTTTGCTGGCAGCACGAGAGGAGCAAACCGCCGCAGCAGTGCAGCTGCCTGCTGCTGTTGCTGCTGCTGCTGCTGCTGCTGCTCGGGGTGCTGTAGCTGCTGCTGCTGTTGCTGCTGCTGCTGCTGCTGCTGCACCACCTGCTGCAGCAGCAGCAGCATTTGGTCCGAAGGGGGTATCGCTGTCTCCGCCCTCGATGGAGACGCGTTTGAGTCTGCAGTGTATATACACCCCAAACCCTAAACCCTAAACCCTAAACCCTAATTTTAAAACCCCCTTTGCAGCAGGCAGAAAGGGAGAAGGAAAGAAATAATATATATATATATATATATATATATATATATATATATATATATATATATATATATATATAT